CTGTGTTACAACCTTTTTCCAGAGAAGAAAACAGCAAAACAAGTGAAATATTGTGCTAGGAGCGCCATCTAGTGGTAAAAAAGACATCAAAACTTGCTAAACTCCAGCTGAACAAAAGATGACACAAAAATCATTTAAATAGGTGCCATTAACAATACTTCCCTTACTGTTGTGATTTTTAATATAATCTACTTATATTACATTAGGATTTAGAATAGAATTGTTTCCTGATTTATTTTTTTGCAATGACGAACAAGTATTTTTAAAAGTTGAGCAGAGCAAAAATATATTTAAGGCATTTAAATGAAATACAAACCAGTAGTTTGATCAACATATTAATCAACAATTCAATACTTTATGCATTTTAAAATAATGCACTTTTAAAACTGTGCCATTTTGAGCAGAAACTACACTTTTGGGCTCAACATGAAACAGTACAGTAACAGTAAGTGTGAAATTACTTGATGCACTCAATATGAGGTTAAACTATTGGAATGGAACTCAAGAGTAACTCATTATCATCAAGAATTCAGCATAAAAGTGGATCAAGTTATAATAAAGAGATGAAAACAACGTTTTTTGACCTTGTTGTACTGATGTGTCGCAGCACATCAAAGCATTCTTCTGAACACGGCGCTATTTACAGATAAATAAGGGTTTTAAATTCCTGAGCGAGAAGTGTGTTCAGTCTTATTTCACATTGACATTTTAAAGTTAGAGCTTCTATTCAAGTGGATGACCTGAAATAATGCTAAATAAAAGCAATTGACGTAATTGGTTCAAACAGATTGCCTGATGACACCATCCTGCACACCACCCTCACCCACATAGACGGTAAAAATGGAAACTATGTCTGATTGCTGTGCATTGACTATATCTCAGCTTTTACCACTGTGATCTCAACCAGTCTGGCCAACAAAATAATAGACCTAGGACTCAACTTCCAGCTGCGTATAGGGTGCCATTTGTAAAGTCAAACAGTCATAACTTAGCATCAATATTTTGGGTTTTTTAGCTTATCATAAAAGAAAAAAATGGGAGTAATTTTTCTGTCATATTTTCCCCATGTTATTTATACAAGTAAAAATTTAAAAGACCCCAACAAAATATTTAGTTAGAAAGCAAAATATTTAGAGTTAAATATTCATTTTACAAACAAAATATTTAGGTGCGACTTCAATCTTTAGCTTGCTAAGTAAATATTTACTTATGAACTTTGACATTTATATACATGTGAATAACATGATGAAAAGATGACTTAGAAAAATAAACTCCCACTTTTGAAATTATAGGTTAAATAATCCAAAATACCACTGTTAAATTATGACATTACAAATGGCATCCCATAGCTTTGTAGATGGGTGCTGGACCGACAGGCCCCAAGTAATTAGGCTGGGCAGCTGTGTGTCCATCACAACAACACTCAGTTCTGGTGTTCCACAGGGATTATTTTGAGCCCCAATAATGATCAGTCAGCCCACAGAGATGAAGTGAAGAGACTGGAGAGATGGTGTCAAATTTGCAACCTCCTGCTGAACGTCAGCAAAACCAATAAAGATGGTGGTGGACTTTGGGAGGAAACTGCAGTGCTCCTACTCCCCTTTCTCCAATGATGATGCTACAGTGGAATGAGTAGAAAACCTCAGAGGCCAACTAACAGATAAACTCACTTGGTATACCTACATTGATAAATGATAAATGACCCGCACTTGTAAAGTGCCTTTCAAATCTTCTAATATCTTCTAAAATTTTCTTATATCTCACATCTAAGATTTCCACCTCTTTAATTTACAAAATAATACTAAGACTTTCCTAACTTTGCTCAGACATGGCATGTTTTATTTATTGTTTTGAATGAAAACATGTTTTGCCTTTAGCTTTTTTTCATGAAAATCATCAGTTGTTTGAAGTTCAGAAGTGCTTTCAAGTTGGTGGTTTCAGCCTGCATCTGGAAAAGAGTCTTAACAAACTAGTTATACAAATAAACAAATCATGAATGCCTTTTTTGTCTTAAATGAGACATATTATCAACATTTTGTTTAGATATATAACAGTTTGTGCTATACATATTTATAAAGTTCTTTGCACAAAATCACTCACATAAAACAATCTCTGCTGTTTTATTCTTGACACTTTTAGTACCTTCCAGAATAAGCTGTTTCAGGGCTCTGTCATTTTAAGATAACAAGCTGGAGCTGGCCACGCCCACTCATCCCTTGATAGGCTGGACTTTTCTTCTGTGTAATGACTATTAGGCTGGGTCTCAGCATTTTTCAAAGGGGAAATGGTGAATTATTGTTACATACCAGTGTTTTAAAGGGGACCTATTATACAAATCTGACTTAATGCATCTTTTTGTGATGCAATGTGGACCTCTATGGCCACCATAGATACACAAAACGTTACAAAACCAGTCCATCCATTTTCTGTCAGTATTTTGTTTAAAGAATTATATGTCTAAATGGAGCCATTTCAAAAATCCTCCATTTGTGTCGTCACAAACAGGAACATTTGCTTGGAACCCCCTCACCTGTTGAGTTCCCACCCACCAACATTGTTGAGGACACGCCCCTTAACATGCTGGAGGCATCATTAACAATTTCTAAAAGAAGCATATTTTCTAAACTTTGAAACAATTGACAATACACTTTCAAATGTCTTTCAAAAGTGTCAAATGCATGTGTCTCATGCTCAGTGCATGAGAGTTGGCAGCCCTGCTTGTGGGTACGTGTGAGTGACTCTGGTAGAAAAAAATGGGGTGGCCCAGGTGAAGCACTTGTTCGTGCAAGGGTGATATCTATTATGATGCTTTGTTGAGGGAGGACACATCATGTAATCATTATTTGATTAATTTTAATGAATTTGTGAGCTTCCTTGTACATTTATTGTGTGCATACATATTCAAAAACATTTTTCCTACACCACTGACTGTAGAACAATTGGTCATGACCAATTTCTTCTTCTTCTCCTTGCTCTTTTGGCGTTCTATACAAATCTCCCATTTTTGACGTCACAGACAGGCACTTTTTCAAATTTCTTCATTTTGGTACCTATAATTGAACACTGATAGAAAATGGATAGATTTTTTAAAAAAATGTTTAGAGTGTGCATAGAGGCAGTAGAGATACATAGCAACACTAGGGATGCAAAAGGTGAGTTTTGGATAAGGTCCATCAATCCATCCATGCATTTTCCATAGTCACTGATCCACGCAGGGTCGCAGGAGGCTGGTGCCCATCTCCAGCAGTCCTCGGACAATCAGGCGGGGTAAACCCTGGACAGGTTGCCAGTCCATCGCAAGGCAACACAGAGACACAGGACAAAACTACCAAGCACTCACACACTCACACATGAGGACAAGAGACCAATCAACCTGCCATTCATGTCTTTGGATGGTGGGAGGAGGGTGGAGTGCAGAGAGAACATGCAAACGGACAAGGATTTGAACCCAGACCTTTCTGGGTAATCCTGAAAGCAGAATAAAACAGAAAGAGTTTTTGATCGTATTTATTTCATTTATTACAACTTACATTTAACTAGATATAGCACACTTTGGAATCAAAACACCTTTCTTAGTGGCCTGGCCAGGCCATGCAGCAGATAGTTTCTGGTGTAACGCTTTAATGTTTAAAGGCTCATAAACGGAGGTGGTGTAACTGTCTCATTAGGGCAGGGGTCGGCAACCTGTGTTCCCATCAAAGAGCCGTTATTAGCCGTTTCCCACAGTAAAGAAAACACTGGGAGCCACAGCAGCCACGGCGTTGTGGGCGGGGCCTACCCTCAGACAGCAGAGAGCCACTTTAACCAATCACAACAGGTGACAGCAGCCAGTACCGGTCGCTCGTGTACGTGAAAGTTCTTTCATAAGACGATAATCAATAAAACGATTTATATAAAATGGATCCAGAAGTTGTAGCCCGTCTCTGCCTACAATATTTTGATATTTTTTCACCCTGTTGGTGGTTTTACTGAGCAGGTGCCACTTTTGTCATACGTTTCTTTTTAAAACATGTTTAGACAGTTCAGAATACAAATCCAGGCTCTGTCACGTTTGATTGTTGTAATTAAACTTTGTAGGTGGGGAAGGTCAGAAAAGGATCCAATCAATTTGTTTTCCCCTCATTTACAGTGACGGAGATAATGGCGCAGTGCGCCTGGCTCTGGTGGTAATCAAGTTAAATTATATCTCTTTGCAACAATTTTCACAAGAAAACAGAACAGTTAAAAGCAGGACTTGTGTTGAACGGATAGTTCCCGTATTTGACCGTTTATTTTGACGGAGAAAGAATAGAAAGAATTACCCCGACGTATGCAGACGAACTGATACTTTATTCGTTTCGCACATCGCAGATGTAGCTAAATCACTCAAGAAAAGATTCCCATCTGAACATCTGAGCTGGACACTGCTCAGCGCAGCTCACTGTCGGCGCGTACGTACGGTCCACAGCGAGCTGAAGATGTGGAGAGGGGCTTGGAGCACTTCGCAGAACCAGAGCACATGCAGGAAGATTCCTCCGACTGAAGCGAGACTTGTCACTTAGAAAATGTTCCCTGATTATGAAACTTTGGCTGAATAGCACTTGTTCCTGTCTCCAATGTGGCGTCACATCCAGGAGCCTGCCTGAGGAGAGTCCCAGAATCTCACATCCTCTTCAGCTCAGAAAGCGCATATGATTACGCACAAGCGTGACGCGTCAACCCGGTCTCACAGTAAGACCGGGTTGGACCTGTTCAGGTTTACGCAGACAATCTTTACATTTAGAATTGGCATACAGAAGTAAAATTAATGCAGTAAAATATAAAGCATTTTATTTAAATATCCATTCATTATTTTACAAGCACAGAGAGCCGCATCAGATGGATGGAAGAGGCGCATGCGGCTCCAGAGCCGCGGGATGCTGACCCCCGCGTTAGGTGTTGATGGCCTGCTGGGGGGCGGGGCTTAAACTGACACTGAAGCAGCTTTAAGTGATGCGGGGATGGGGTCCCTTTCACGTTCTGGAAGCAGGATAGAGATCCACTTGGGGATGGAACATTACAATTTTACTTTTTTACATCTTATTTTCACAATGTCTCATTTCTGTTAGTGAGAATTTGAGAACAAGAAGAAGAAGAAGAAGAAAAAAAGAAGAAGAGACTCCGCAGGCATCATCCCCCTGTGACCGCCCACAGCTCCAAGGGGGAGAAAGGGGGAGAAAGTGCTGCTTTGTGAATGACGGGAGCGGCGGACGACAGGAAACTAACTTTACCGAATGATAATCTCAACCTGAGACGTTTTTAGTCTCAGCTGAAAAGTTCGGACAGCTCTACTGTCGGTGGCGAAGGGACCGGAAGCGGGGAAACTCGGTAAGTCGCGACGCCTTTGGTGTGTGGTGTTAGAGCAGATTGACAGCCGTTCTCGTTTTTTTTCCAACGGAGAGATGCATGGCAGGCTAACCGTGACTGGAATAAGTGTCCAGGATAATTCCTGGACTGAGTTTGGACTTCCAGTTGCATAAACCCGCAAAAACACATAAGCCGATGTTCAGTTTAAATCGGTGAACGGAGAAGAAGCGTCGTTTGAAACTGGCTTGCATCATGAATATCAACAAGCACGCAGTTCAGTTTCAGACTGACTTTCCATTTACCCACCGAATCTTCTCAAGCTTTTCTGCATTTGATGCAAGTTTCCATCTGCTGCCAGGGTGTTTCGCAACATTTGTGACTCATGCAGAAAGCGTGCATTCCCACTGTCCCCATGAACGCCAAAAAGACACAGAAAGACTCATTCATCACGTTTTAAGGTCTCTGTACTGGAAGTGGTCAACAAAGGTTTTCATATGGATTTAACCACATTTTCATGTTCTCCTTTCATCTAAACAGTGTTTTTTAATGGACAAAGTTTTGTTCCCTTTTTTTTTTTTTTTTTTGCAGAATCACCATGATGCTCATCACTCTGGTCTTTCATCTCTGCTTACTGGTGGTGGTTCATGGTGACCCCTGCCTCATCATCAGCGAGATCAACGCTGACAATCCAAAACTGGACATGACTGAGTTTGTGGAGCTCTACCACACCAGTGGACAGCGAGCCTCTTTAGACGGCTACACGCTCGTCTTCTATAATGGCAATGGGAATATCGCCTACAAGGTTCTGGACCTGAAGGGCCACAGTACAGATGACAGGGGCTTCTTCCTGGTGGGCTCTATGGACATGCTGCCCAAACCCGCCATCCCCCTGCCTCCAAACACAGTCCAGAATGGACCGGATGCCATTGTCCTCTACCACACATCCGCTGCCCGTTACAGTGAGAAAATGAACGTCACGTCTATTGGGTTGGTGGATGCAGTCGTCTACATGACTCGCAGAACCGGAGGAGCAGAGTTCCTGGCTGAGATCCTTACCCCCGGGGAGCAGGCCTTTGTTGAAGACGAAGCGGCGCTCGAGGGGGACGAGTCAATTGAGAGGTGTTTGCTCTCTGAAGATCAGTGGGGCTTTCAGGTGTCCTCGCCCTCCCCAGGTCAGAGGAACAACTGCACCCCACCTGCCGCCCCATCTAGCATTCCTTTCATCACTGAACTTAAGCTGGGTGGAGGACAGGTGGATGGCTTTGTTGAGCTGACAGAGGCTCCAGCCGCGGGTCCATTGGTGTTGGTGGTTCTGGATGGAAAAACAGACCGAGTCAGTGTCAGAGTTGAAGTGGACCCCTCCAGAAATGGCCTAAACTATGTGATCATAGAGAAGAAATACATGAAAGGTCAGTGCTGCTTCATATATTTAGATTTAAAACATTTAGTTTTGTGGTGATCGTGTCTGTTGGTGTTTCCTCTCAGGAGACGAGTCTGGTGCAGTGGCTGTTTACAGCGGCAGAGCTACAGACTTCCCGGTGGGAAGTCCGCTGAGCCAGCTCCAGCCTCTGGATGCATTTGTGTTTGCTGGACCTGGAAATAAGCCAAGCGCCAACCTCACAGAGATGCTCATCCCCGGCAGGCAGCCGTACCAGCTAAGCAACAAGCAAGTCCCTTTTACTATCCTCAACATAACTCAGTTTCATTTAAAAGAATGAGTCCATCTTTGCTTACTGGGATTTTACTGACTTTTGGGAAGACTTCATGGTTATTTGTGTGGCCAAACACACACAGTGGTTTGACTCAGTTCCTCTTTTGCAAAGAATGTCATCACAGTTCAGCTGTGGTCAGCTTCTCAAACAAGCTATTAACACCTAAAATAATTTTACACACTCCTCTGTGAGGTGGCATATCACCCTGAAGGTGTGTGTGTGTGTGTGTGTGTGCGTGTGTGTGTGTGTGTGTGTGTGTGTGTGTGTGCGTGTGCGTGTGTGTGTGTGTGTGTGTGTGTGTGTGTGTGTAAAACTTTCCAGTGCTGTAAATGGAACCAGAAATATCCATGATGAGACATCATTCCTTATTTTTCCTCAATTAGTCATAATTAATAAATAAAACAATATTTGAACACAAAAGTGTTTTTAGTATTGAGTGGTTTTATTAATGTTAAACACGTCTCCATACTTTCTGTTTTGTTTTTCTGCAGCGTTTGAGTCTTTGGAGAGGGTAATTTCCACTCAAACAAGGGTTAATAAAGCCCTTTCACTGTTAGTGTCATGTCATGGTCATTTATTTGTTGTTCATTTCAGTTTGCGAGAGGGCGGCTTCTATCTCAGTCGCTGTGGTGTGGCCACCTGGACCAGAGATCCTGGGATCTTCTGGGAGGCCCCACAAACTCCTGGGCTGCCCAATCAGTGCCCCTGGCCAAAGATCTGTCCACACAGCGCTGGTAAGCGTTTCCATCTACTTTTAGCATGATGGATAGGGGTTAAAGGAAATGTCCCTCAGAATAAAATATGCAGATTTTCACATGAAGTTGTAACCATTTTAGATGTTCACCTTGTGTGGAATACAATAACTGATGCAGAGATTGGCTTCTTGTTGCTCAAGCAAACATGTTAAAAATTCACATTATAAATACCAATAAAATAATAACAAGTTGCAGTTTCATTGTATCAGAAGTGCCAAAAATTAGACCGACATTCAAAAAAACTAAAACTTTAATCACGAAAACAAGAAAGGATGGAGATGAGCCGTCATCTTTGAGAGGAAAGAACTCACATTTTTGTAAAATTCAAAGCCAGGATTCATCTGGCTGAAACTCTAAAAGAAGGTCATGAACGTTGTGACATCATGTATATCCAACCCGCCTTCAAATAACCTCATTCTAGCAGGATTGACTGAATACAACCTTCTTCAAACATCTCTAAACTCCATAGTTTTAACATCAGCCCACGCTATTTTATAGAGCTTCTGACCACGATTGGTTTCATGGTTATTTATAAAGCAGCAGCTAGCTGTGGCTGTGTTGGTGTATCCTGGGCTGAGGTGTCAGAAGTATTCACCTGCATCACTCGGATAGAAGTATAGATGGCAGGGCTTAACAATATTTCTGTTGAAGAATCAATTCAAGCTTTTTACTCAAGTAAAATTAATAAAGTACTGGTTTAAAAACTACTTAAAGATGCAACATGTAAGGATTTTACAGGAAAATAATCACAAACAGTTTAATGTCAAAATCCCGTTGGAAGGACGGTTACATTGAAACAGATTTGCTTGTCAGTCGGCTGGAGGGTTGTCAGTTTTTCTCCTATTTAAAAACTAAACAAAACCAAAGAGAAACTTGGTTACGGTTTAAAATCTGTGGATTTGTGAGGTTGCCATATCTTTAGCAAGCTAACGCAGCAGTGCTGGCATTTGTAATTCGACACCGGTAGGCTAAAGTTCCAGAGTTGTATAATGAAACGAAGCCAGTAAACAGGAGTGACCTAGAAGTTATTCCTTGAACCCTGATTCATGCTTCTCCGTCAGCTCCGCAAGGGACAGACACGCACGGATTGACGGAAGCGTTTTGCTCTTTTACTTCTCCGTCTCCTGGGGAGTGTTGCAAAGCAATTGCCCGACAGGACAACAGAGGGCGTAGCGCTGTTCTGTGGTATCCTGTTATGTATCCGGTCCAAGATAGTGTGTTTATATTGTGTTTTTGTATATAAGAGACTTTTTAACACAGACAAATTTGTCTCTCATTCTCCTCCACCTCTTCATGCGCTCACCACCTCTAAACCCACGTTTCCTGTCATTTCCGTCCACAAATAAATCGTTTGCTGTGTATCTTTTCACTCCTCCAGTCACGGGGGAACTAAACGTTCATGTTTTTAGAGTATTTTCGCGAGGTATTCTTTAAGCAGCTCCGTGTCTGCCGCTAGTTATCCTCGGCTCTCTTTATGTTTTTGAGGACGCAATGGCGGCGGTGTGGATGACAGCGGCGTCCTGACCAATCACGAGCTTGCGTTGTCCGTCTCAACTGACAGATGTTTAGAAAAGAGAGCTCAACTCCGTCCGTCCTTGCGGAGCTCTCCGGCAGGTCCGCAAGGACGTTGCGTGTCTCCGCACCGACGCTGACGGAGAAGCATGAATCGGGCTTTAGTAGTCCTGGTTTTTATTTTTTCATTTCTTTGTCTGATTTTTTTATGTTTTATTGTGTTTTTACTTGACTCCTTGTATTTTTTTTATGTTTTTATACGTCTCTGTTCAGCACTTTGGGCAACATTGTTGCATTTAAATGTGATATACAAATAAAGGTGATTTGATTGAATTTTTAAAAGCAAATAATCGGCTCTAAAAATAACTACTTTTTCAATGACCAACAACTCCGTATCACAGTGAAATGTGTGTGTGAAGTAAATGAGTCAGTCATGGTGTTTTACGTTGTGTAACTATTCATTCAGAACTAGAACAGCGAGGCAAAAAAAACACCACACTTATGCCGGAGAAATATTACCATAGTAAGTGTCCCTACCGTAAAACACCCAAGACTGCTAACACCAGAAATGACTACGTGTTTATCTATGTATCAACTTACTGCGTGTGACTCATCTTGTCATTTAGAATCTTCTGGTGCAGATTCACAACTGGCAACATCCATGTAACTCACAGAACAGCAGTGAGAAAAAGATCATTTATTTTTTGCTTAGAAACATGGACTGCTGTTACCAAATCTGACCACAGGATGTCGTTCTTATTTTATTCGTACTTATTGCACTTTTAAAAAGAAAAACAAATGCCATTTAGGTCAAAAGCACCACAGCACTACTACACCTCCCCAAAAGGCCTTAGTGACTACAATCTTAAATTAAAATGGTAATGCGGAAAATGTGGGTTACAACTGACTACCTAGTTTAACTGAATACAAGCCCGTTGAAAATCTGTGCATTTTAGTGTAATACAAGTACATTAAAGAGGTTTAACTTTACTTTGACGGCCCCTAATGGCTGAAGCATAGAGCGCATGAAACATTTAGAGATATTTCAAACAGTTTTCAAAGAGCTATCTACATCAGGTAAGATATGTATTGTTCACAACATTTTGACATAACTTTATTAAAAAGGATCTCAGCTATTGCTTAACAACAACAACTATATAGTGATTTTTAACAATGGGGAAAAAAACACCTGACTTCTCATATAAAAGGTTTCACATCATCTTTCCTCCCACATAACTCTGTTATTATGTGCTGACCTATTGACTGTTCATTCAGGTGAAATTTAATACATTTTTGGTTGTCCAACGCCATTTCACAATCTTATCGCTGGAGGCCGACCGATATGTTGTTGTTTTTTTAAGGCCGATACTGATTTTTAACTAATTTAGTTGCCGATTGCAGATTATTAAGGCTGATATATACGTTTTAGCAGCACATTGATTGTGGAAGACAACTTAACACTCACTGTGTGCAATATAAATGAAATAAGTCAATAAATCTCTTAACCCTTATATAACCCTTTAATTTTCTAACGTTAATGTCCTTTGAGCTCAAAAAATGCACTAAGGTCATGTAAGGGTTAATATTTATTGAACTTCAAATATAAGCTAAACTCAAAACATAAAAATTAATTTTGGCCAATGGCTGATATAGAAAAAATTGTATATATTGGTTGGCCGATATATTGGTTGGTCTCTACTTATTGCTATCATCGGTGAGGATATTAAAGTAAAAAATTTCAAGTTGTTGTAAATGTGATGTATAATTGAACCCAAAACCATCAAAGGAAATAAGGAACCAGATCTGTACAAAAGCAGCTGATTTCATTCTTGTGTGTGTGTGTGTGTGTGTGCGTGTGTGTGTGTGTGTGTGTGTGTGTGTGTGTGTGTCAAACAAACATTCACAAAAAGCTAAATATAAAATTGATACAATTTGACTCCAAAAGGTACAGATTACTAGTCTGGTAAGCCATCCTACATGTGTAAATATGTAGTCTGGCCATGACCCATAGACAGAGCTTAGTCATGGGGCAGAATCTACTGGGCTCGGATTAATCAGAGCAATAGCCAACATGACTCATTCATGGCTATGGAAACCAGTCAACAGGGCAGTCTGCCTTACATCGTCAAAGAAGCAAATACATTCTATTTCTAAATAAATGATTTACCTTTATCTGTTTATGTCTCAAAGAAAAGCCCAAGTCTAATTCGTCCTAAGTTGATGCCAAAGCTGTTTCAAATGTGCGCTGTTTCTGAACTGATGCCATCTTTGTAGTTTTTCTCTATTGCAGCTGCAGCATTAAGCACGCACAGCATCTCTTAGCAAGCATAGAGAGCTAGGATTGGCTCGACTTAAAACTGCTCAAGCCAATAGTAGACCTGCTGAGGCTACGATGGAGCGTGGCTAGACCGACCTGCAGAGTAAAATCCTTTTGCTTCTGCTTTGGTTGGTCTAGATTTCTTCTTTTATGAGGAAAGTAAAATAGGTAATATTGTCACTGAACTCAGCGAACCGAGTTTTGTTAGGAACGCCGCAGAGTATTGGTTTCTTTTGTTTATTTAATAATGTAGTCTGTTTCATTAACAAAACCGCAGCTTCATGCTTGATTTTCACTTAATTAAATGTTTAAAGTCATACAGAAGGTTTCAGACTGTTTACAAACTATTTATTGGAGCAAAATAAGATTCTTCTTGAAAACATGAAGTCTTTGAAAAGATCTGACTGAAGGCCTTGCAAAATAGGAACTGATCCATGAACTGAGACCTAAGTGAAGAGGGAGGTTTTCATAAGAAACTGGTAACGTAAACCTTTGTGACTTTATGAGAAGTTGTTGATAATTAGGTTAACCTCTGACAAGGATTCCTCTGGCTTTTATTTGTCACATATTTGTGTTTTTAAGGATTAAAACTTGGTTTATGGTTGAGATTTGGATCGACAGAAGTCATGTTTAGGCCATTTAGTTTTCATCGTTAGAGAAAGAAACAGTGAGTTGATTTAACAATTTGCCTTTGGCGGATCTGGTGGATAGAGCAGAGGGCCGCCCCGAGCAGTGTTCTCATTGAGCACCCGGACAGCCTGTGGGATGGAGCTCGTCCTGAGCCTCGCTCCATGTCGATCCTCAGGCTGCAGGAACGATGGAAACACGAAAAACGGGCCAGGATCTGACTGATACGGGCCTCTGGCAATCTGTTCTGTTCCTACACTGCCGTGTGTGTGCATGTGAGGGTTTTTCTATAGACGGTATGGAGAAGTTGATACGGATGTTTTGATCATGTGACAGCCTTTTTCTCACTTCCTTTTTACTGGCTGATTTCCTTTATAATAATAATAATAATGAGTTTTTCTTCAGCTGGAGAATCAGGCTCTTCCTGGCGTAGTCACTTCCCACCTTTCTCTCCCAGTGATTCCAGGAGGTACCGATTCTCCACTTCACCTCCCTCCCTGGGGTAACAGTGACTTCCTGATCAATGAGCTGAACACGGACACGCCCGGAGCAGCTGAGGACGGGGAGTACATTGAGCTTTGGCACCCATCGGGGCGCAGAGTCTCCTTGCAGGGCATCTGGATCCTCCTTTTCAGTGCACACAACAACAAGCCTTATCGAGAGATCAGCCTGAGCGGGCACTTCACCACCGCTAAAGGTTATTTCCTACTGGGGAGTGACAGGTTGGTACCGGCCCCGTCACTCCGCCTGCCTCCCAACACCATCCAGAATGGACCGGATGCTGTGGCGCTCTACCGCAGCCCCTTCGGACAGCCGTCGGCTACGCAGCGGGGAATTCCCACTAAAGGCCTGCTAGATGCTGTGGTGTACCGACAGAGGGGGTCGGACCGCGAGGCGCAGGAGCTGAGTAAAGCTCTGACTCCAGGACAGCTGCCACTGCTGGAAGATCCGGATGTTCTGCCTGGAGATGAGACCCTGAGCCGCTGTAGGGGCCTGTACCCCTACGACCTGTCTGCTTTTTCTGTGAGTATGTAGAGAAAGCAGACATACCTAAATTACATTTCAGATTAAATGATATCCATTATATACATAAAACTTGCATCAATCATTGTAGGTAGCTCCACCTACCCCTCTGCGGGAAAACAGCTGTCCCCGTCCTCCTCCAGCACCTGAAGGGGTTGTCATCAGTGAGGTGGCTAGTGGCTACTGGACCAACCACAGCCAGCAGAGAGCGTTTGTGGAGTTACAGGGCCCGCCCATGACTGACCTCCGGGGCCTGGTACTTTCTGTGTTTGACCAGGAGCGTGGTGGGACTGTCGTAGCTCTCCCACTAAAGGGTTATGTCAATCAGGATGGGTTTTACATGGTTGGAAATGTCACAGGAGCAGGTGAGGGGAGTGGAACATACGCCGGCTTACTTCTCTCTTCTCCTTCTGTCCGGCATTAACTCCCTCTCTCCTCATCTCTCTCCTGCTTAGACCAGGCCTTCCCTGAAGGCTCCACGGTGCCGGCTAGAGGAGCAGTGGTCCTGTGCTACGACCTGTTCAGCGTCTGCAGAGCCGGTACTGCTCTGACCAACTCCAGCCTCAGAGATGTGCTGGTGTTCAGTGAAAACCAGCGGCTGCTTTCCTCTCTGTCCACCACCAGGGGGAGACAAGTGATGCCATCTCTCAGGTAAGAGACACTGGCATATTTTTCGATTTTTATTGGAGCCCTTCAGAGATGAGTCAAATTAGAATCTAAGCTGTGTTCATCATACAGGAAATGCACTGAGGTTGAAATGTTGCACGTGAGTGGGCTTTGATCTAATGGACGAGCTGTGGCTCAACACGTTGTTGCTGAGTTAGTCATGTGTGAATGTCTGTATGTTTAAATAAAACTTTACAGATTGTAAAGTAAACTTTATTTGTACAGCAATCGTCACAGGATATAAAACACAAAATGCTTCACAAAAAACATAAAACAAATTTAAATAAAAACATGAGAGATAAAGTCAACATAAATGGTAAACTAAATGGATGAAAACATAAAGTCAGACAGCCCAAATGTAGTTAAAAGCCAGACTAAATGAATGCATCTTTAGCAGTTTTTAAAAGAATAAACAACGTCAAGGAAACAAAGATGGAGGCGAGGCATCCCACAACCTGGAGACCACCGATCTGGAACATCTGCATCCAGATGAGTGTGAAGCTCCAGAGATCTGAGGCTCAGTGGGACAGAGGAGCCCAGAGTACCGAGGCGCTGTTTTACTCCAGATGTTAAACTATCAGGAACTATAATTTAGGTTTTTCTATGAGGCTCTGAGTCACCTTTTCTTGGAGATGTGGATGCTACTTCAACATTAACCTCCTGAGATCCGGCGTCCACATACGAACATTGGCTTCTTGCACTAGAATATTTTATTCTCTTCAACTTAAATCTTTTTTATTAATCTTTTGAAGCATTTTTATTACATTTTTACTCATTTTAATCCAGTGTTTCCTCTGTGGGGCCCTCTGCCCCGGGAGCGGTGGTCGACTGTAGCTTCCTGGGCGCTCTATAGGTGGGGGTCTATGCTCCCCCTCCACTGAGCGCCCTGACTTAGTGTGGAAGACCTGATGCTGCCGGGACAGACGGCTCCTCTGATGGCGTTTCCTTGCGTTACCATACTTGGCTCATCTGGACTCAGCCTAATATAATTTTTACTTGTGTGTGTGTGTGTGTGTGTGTGTGTGTGTGAGTCTGTGTGTGTGCGTGTGCGTATGCGTGTGATTGCATATGTTTGTTAATGTTTTTAACCTGTTATGGGAATCTGGGGTCATTTTGTAAAGCACTTTGAATAACACTTTGTTTGAAAAGCGCTTTAGAAATAAAATTTGATTGATTGATTGATTGATTGATTGATTGATTGATTTGATATTGAATTAAAGTTAAAGTATATTTTATTTCTTTTGTTTCTAGGAAATCTGTCGATATTTTTTAATTTTATTTTACATCACACCAAATGCAACTTCGGGTCTCAGGAGGTTAATCACTGATATTGTTTCAAACCACAAACACACCCTTCTGATGTTCCCAGAAGGCAGGTTGATGACTCAGCGTGTCGCACTGCTGAAAGATGTTAAAGATCCAAGTTGTTTACTTGTCTTCTTATTTCCCCTCATCTACATGTGATTGAACATCTGTGGGATAAAACCAGTTTAATCCAGACGACAAGTCGAGAGCTGTTGTAATGGTGTCAGACTGAGCTGTGTGTGTGTGGGACTCATTTAATTATCTGTGTGTGTTTCTGGTTGTCTGTCAGCATATCATCCCATAAACCGCTACATGGATCTTATTGAATTTCCCAAGAAGTAGTCACAACTGATGATATCGGTATCGGCCAGTACTGAAGGCTGCATTATCGGTATCATATCGGAAGTGAAGAAGTTGTATCGGGACATCCCTAGTAGCTTGTACTATTTTTAGAATTCTACAGTCACGTAAGGTCCTCTATGTGCAGGTTGGTGCAGGATGGAGCGCTCTCACTCAGCCGGTGTTTGTGCTGTGAGGTCAGGAGTCTGTCCGCATGGACGAGCTCATCTCCAACTCCTCACAGCACCAACCTGTGTCCAAGCTCCGCCTTCTCCAGCCAGATCGATCTGTGTGTCAGGCTGCCATCTGAAGACCAGCAGGGGGAGCTAGAAGGTACTACATCAAGAACAAGTTATAGTGGGTACGGAAAGTATTCAGACCCCCGTAAATTTTTCACTCTTTGTTATATTGCAGCCATTTGCTAAAATCAATTTCTTCCTTTCTCCTCATTAATGTACACACAGTACCCCATATTGACAGAAAAACATTATTTTAGAATCAGTCAATCAAATTTTACTCATGTAGCACCTTCTACTGCCTTTGCGGGAGCCCAAGGCACTCGACATAACATACCATAAAAATAAAAGAATAGACAAATAACAGGACAATAAAAATAGGTTAAAAATGGTTAAAACAGAATAAAACTACATAAAAGCCGAATGACAAGTGCGTCTTCAGGAGACTTTTAAAAACCTCCAGTGATGGCGATTGTTTCACAGCATGCGGCAAGTCATTCCAGAGTAGGGGAAATTATTGAAAAGGCCCGATCTCCTCTGCAATGCTGCCTCACTCAAACCAGCGTACAGTGCGTTACAATAGTCCAGCCTTGACAATATAAATGCATGTAGCACTGACTCAAAATGAGGTCTTGACAACATGGGCTTGATTTTGGCTTGCCATCATAAGTGAAAGAAACAGAAACTCACCACCATATGGGTCTCGAATTTAAGATCTGAATCTGGTCTCACCCCCAAACTGGTGACCACCGAGTTGTGATATTGTGACAACATCCAAATTCATAGCAGGACCCCCACCTCTCTTGATGGTCGGGTAGAAGGTGATGAGCTCAGGCTTCTCATCATTTACGTGGAGATAATTTGTGGCAAGCCAGGACTTGACCTCATCTAAACATGTCAAGAAAGCTGCAATAGAACCTCCCATTCTCTGACATAATGGAAAGTAAATTTGGTAGTCATCCGCATATATAAAACATAACACCATGGCTGTGGAAGACAGCCCCCAAAGGGAGTAAATAAAGGGCAAAAAGAAGTGGCCCCAGGACTGAACCCTGCAGTACCCCTAACACTGGTCCTCACAGTGAGACAAGGCCTCACCTACCATCACATAAAACTTCCTTCCCTGAAGATAAGGTCTTTGCCATTACAGAGCCAGCCCAATGATCCCACCCAGTACTCCAAACAATCGAGGAGGATTTCATGATCAGTCGTGTCAAATGCAGCTGTTAAATACAATAACAACAACGCCACGGCTGCACCCTGGTCTAAGGCCATAAAGGTATCATCAACATCATAGAAATATGCAAATTTATTAAAAAAGAAAAACTTAAATATCACATGGTCTTAAGTATTCAGACCCTTTGGTCAGTATTTAGTAGAAGCACTCTTTTGAGCTAATACAGCCGTGAGTCTTCTTGGTAAAGATGCAATAAGTTTCTTACACCTGGGTTAGAGGATCTTGTGTCATTCCTCCTTGCAGATCCTCTCCAGTTCATTCAGGTTGGATGGTGAACGTTGGTGGATAGCCATGTTTAGGTCTCTCCAGAGATGCTCAATTGGATTTGAGTCAGGGCTCTGGCTGGGCCATTCAGGAACAGTCACAGAGTTGCAAAGCTACTCTTTGTTATTTTAGCTGTGTGCTTAGTGTCATTGTCATGTTGGAAGGTAAACCTTCAGCCCAGTCTGATGTCCTGAGCACTATGGAGAAGGTTCTTGTCCAGGATATCTCTGTACTTGGTTCACATTCATCCTTAGGACAGCCTAAGTAGGACAGCCTGCTCTAGGAAGGGTTCTGGTCACCCCAAATGTCTTCCATTTAAGGATTATGGAGACCACTGCGCTCTTAGGAACCTTAAGTGTAGCAGAGATTGTTTTGTGACCGTGGCCAGATCTGTGCCTCGAATCTGTCTGAGCTCTTCAGACAGTTCCTTTGACCTCATGATTCTCATTTGCTCTGACATGCATGGTGAGCTGTAAGGTCATATAGACAGGTGTGTGGCTTTCCTAATCAAGCCCAATCAGTAGAATCAAACACAGCTGGACTCCAATGAAGGCATAGGACCATCTCAAGGATGATCAGAATAAATGGAAAGCACCTGAGTTAAATATAAGTGTCACAGCAAAGGGTCTGAATACTTGGGTCCATGTGATATGTCAGTTTGTCATTTTTAATAAATCTGCATACATTTCTAAAATTCTGTGTTTTTTTCTGTCAATAACTGTTGTGTATATGTGTGTGTAAGTGCTGAGTAAAAAAATAATTTAATTGATTTTAGCAAATGGCTGCATTATAACAAAAAGTGAAAAATCGACGGGGGTCTGAATACTTTCCGTACCCCCGTTTATAATGATCTACAAGTTAAATAAAGTGGACAAGTAGAGCAGAAATTTGAAACTATTCATTTTTGAACAACTTTTTAACAACATCTCATTTTTTTGTCCCAGAATATTTTTTTAAATAATTAACTTAGCAAGTCCTTGCATCTTTGAACTCCAAAATGCTTAAAAAGCAGAAAACTCTACAGCACATGTTAGTTTCTGGCCTCTGAGAACATTTTACTTTCATTTCTTGAACATTTTTCTCAAAAATTTAACGTTTTTTTTTTTAGAAATTTTTTCCAAGAACTTATCTGAGTGGTGCTGCAAGTGCCAAAAAACTCCAGTAGTTTTTCATTTTTAAAGCCTTTTTTGAACACTTTTTATGGACACACATTTTACCTGCTGTTAGATATCTAGTAAAATAAAGAAGACTACCAATTTTTTAAATCATATTTAAATTTAGAAAAGTAACAAAAATAGATGATTTAGACATTTTTTTCTTTTTTTATTAATCCAGGAAACATTTAAATTCTGTAAATGTGTTTCAGTAAAGCCTTACAAATCTATGGATTTTTTTGTTGCCATTTCTTCTTTTTCATTCTCTAACATTTGTGTCTTCAACACAAAGAGGCTGAATACTAACTGTAATGTGTTTCATTTAGTTCAGTTGTCCTTTAATCAGGCCTTTGCTTTTTGTATTTTTTTAACGCAGTAAGAATATTTTCTCTATTTTGCCCAGAGTGCAGTAGTCTAACTCGACCACTGCATGGAAAGAAGGTAGCGGAGGTGGCGGGCTACTTGGAGCAGACATGTAAATGTGGCCTCTCTGCGTTGTATCTACAAGGTGAGGCACTTCAATGACTCTAGCTTCTTAAACAACTACAGACCTAATTATGTGTATAAAAATATGATGAAAGCTCTGTTTCAGCCAGGACAATAATACTCTAGCTGCCAAAAGACCACATGCCATGTGGACTTCTTCCTTTCACTATCACATATTTTATTTCTCACCTACGAGCCAAAGCAGCTCCAAACCTGTCTCCAATCTTCTGTCTGTCTGCTTCTGTCCAAGGAGCAAACTTCTCTTGTTACTCCGGATGGCTGCGGGTTCGGGGGAACATCCAGGCGTTGTCGGACCGTCAGAAGGCCCTCATCATCCAGATGTCCAACATGCGTCCATCAGAGACAGAGGCCTGCTCTTTTCCAACAACTGGACGTTACTCAGGCACAGGTAATATTCAGTAGCCGCTGAGCCCCGTGGACCAGGTTTCTGATTAAGATGCAGCATCACTGCTTGTTTATTTTCCTTCCTAAAATGAAACTGACACTAATCAGATCAGTGTGTTCCATTGTGTGAAAGACGTTAGTGACTTTTCTTCCTTTAAATCACTTGAAAGCCCACAGCAGGCTCTAGGAAGCCTTTGTTCATGGTTGTTCAGCTTTAAGTGGATAACAGTGGGACATTTGAAGAAAAAATGGATTTGCTATGAATTTTTCTTAGTGTTTGGGTTTAAAAATAACATGCATGTTTATATTGGATTCAGTGAAAGTTTGAATATTTGCTGGTTTTAAAGTATCTTAGTTTGCAACGTTTAAAGGGACTTTACGGAGTTTTGAATTTTTATGCTCGCGATTGCCCCCTCAGTCCAAAAGCGTAACGGCAGCTTCAATAGTAGGCTCGTGCACGAGATGCGCATGCTGTACGTGCACACTCCTTAACGAAAATAACAGCTGAGACAGTCCTGTGTGTGTGTGTGTGTGTGTGTGTGTGTGGCCCGGAGGACAGAGGACAGGAGAACGCGCAGATAATTAAATAATTTGGTTCTGTACCTTTCTCTTCAGCACAGCCGACAAAGGTTTAAGATGGGTCAGTCCTCCTGCATGCTCTTGAAAAATTGTCCCAAAATGAAAGTTGAACCCACATCTTTTTTTATCTGTGAATTAAATGCCGTTCAGCGAGTCTCAAATAAAAATGTGGGCATCTTACTGTAAAAAAATATACCATTAATGTTCCTTTTTATGTTTTATTTTATTTTTTTCCCATTTGCTATGCTGTGATTGCTTACTGCTTACCACTGTAGCAGCGCATTGCTGGTCAACGTCAGTAAAACATTTTATCCGTGTCTACCCCAGAGCCTGGATTTTTGTCTCAGTTGTCATTGAGTTGAAGTGTCTTGCATGAAAGGTGGTGTTTATACATGTAAATGCTTGTTAGGAATGCTCAGCCTTTAAATAAATAAAGCGTTTTTAGATTCACAGTTTTAACAGTTTTAGGTGTTGCTTTGGAAATGGAAACACATTTTCCACCCGTGTTTGCTGAAGTACTACTTGATCTGTGATTATTATGCAGGAAAAAGTTCTCCTTTCTATTCATAGCAAGTAGGGTAACTAATGATTATGAGTGAAGTTCAGAATGCAGCACTTTGAGTAAAAGTGTTGTTTTAAAGTATTTGAAGTCGCAGAAGTTCAGACATAAAATGACAGCAGAATCTAACTTAAACGAACAGTTTTTATGCTTATCATCGTCATTGTTGCTTTTGGCTTTGTCTAGCTACTAAATCATAATCAAAGCTGCAATAAATTCTTTTTTTTCTGCAGGTTGGATTTAAAAATATTCAAAATTTGACATTTCTGACTTTCACATTGAAGTTTTGCGGGAAATTAGTTTGCTGTCCCAGTTTGGGCTTATTTAACTTAATAATTAACACTTTCTTTTTATTCTTTTTGAAAACCAAGTAAGGAAAACAATTATATAAAGAATAAAGAGCAAATAATATTGTGGATTTTTTGTCTCTACAGTTTTCTCCCATGTTTTTATGAGTATGATCGTCTTTTATCTAACCATTTCATATACAGTTCACTTTAACCATGCGTCTCGACACTGGTCTTCTTGAGTCCTGATCACGTGACTCGACATTTATCTCACGGACAGTTGTTGCCACCCATTTTGGGATTGCTGGGCCTAAAGTGTATCTGCAGGTTCTTTGTTGCTGATGCAATGACTCACTTTGATAAGTTATGATAAAGATAAGGGAACATGGCATGAAATCACGATTGCTAAAAAGTGGTCCTCAAAAAGCATTTTTTTCCCTGTCAAACAATCTTTGCTCTTACATTTTATAAATAACATAGAGACCTCTGTTGTTGTTGTTTTTCTAACCTTGAGGATGTTAATGGTGGTGTTTTTTTTCCCCCTGCAGCCTCTGCTCTGGGGTTACAGGTCGGCCTCATCATCATGGTGCTCCTGCTACTGGGGCTAGGAGCTGCTTTGTTCACAAATCTCTACAGGAGGAGGTAAACACCATCACACCTTAAGAATTATTTTTTTTATTTCCTCTTAACTCATCTTTTAGTATTTTTTTTATGTCTGCACACCAACAAACCTCTCTTATGTTTGTGCTTTTCCTAAAGATGTTTTGCTAACTTTTTCAGCTGTAATGTTTCCTGCTTTTACATCAAAAGTATCACTGATTTTGGTATTTAAAGGTGGAATATGGAACATTTTAACTCATTCACTGCCAGCCGTTTCCTGATCAGAAAATCCCTTTGCTGCCAGCGTGTTTCACCGTTTTCACAGTTATTTTAAGAGTCACAGAACGTTGCGCTCTATGATGATGTCAATGACAAAACTAACAAAACAAAGAGTAGACTCGCCTCTTACATCAGGAAGAATTTGAGCGTTTCGAACATTATCCTTTCTTTCATAATCCGTTGTTCAATTGTCATCGGCAGAAGATTTTGTGGTTCGTGCCTCACTTTTTTTCCAGCTGCCGCCCAATATGATCTCCTACCACATGGTCTTTCTGCTTCCTGATCATGTGACCTGTGACGTATGTGGATGAAGATCGGCTTTGGAGCTGTGATGTTTGTTCTCATGATGCAGGGGCTCGTTCAGAGTTAATAAAAAGCTATATTTAAAAAATAATATCTCCGCGGGGCGTTTAGAGGTGTATAGAGTGAATGTACAGTTTTTCCTTTAACTCCCTCAGGCTCAAAATAAGTTTTGATGAAAGGATGAACAACTAAGTCCTTCAGGGGTACTTCTGAGTAAAAAAAATGCTCCTGAAATACGTATGTGGAGTAACCAGGTAGGTAGGTTTTAACGTTGCAACTCTGCAATGTCTGCCTCAAGAGGGTTAAGAGCTATATTTTAAAAATTTTTTTAAATAACATTCTATTATTCGTTGGGCGCGACACTGGCTTTATGATTACATCTAATAGCCACTAGAGGGCACAGTTTTGCTTAAAAAAAAAAGTCCGCTCGGCAAGGCGAGGCTTGGACTGTGTAAAATGGCGGATTTGACAAGCAGCTGATTCTGAGCCCAGAAGATGTTCTAACAGTAAATAATGTTGTAAAATAAACATATTAGTAGAAATTAGTCCTTATCCTGTACGATTTGTCACAGGACATGGTGCTGGCTGTTCACTTAATGTGTCAGCAGTGAACCAACATCCTAAATGTTTTCTGTTGTTGCTGCTACCACTTCTAAACACTATATGTCACCAGAGTGTCTGTGTGCTATATTCAACCTTTAACTCTGAATCACACAAGTCAGTATTAGTGTGAGGTTTTCATGTTGTTACTTTGTTCTATGAAATAATTTTATTTTTATCGAAGTTTTAAAAGATAAAGGACGAAGGACAGTTATGAATTTATTGTGGGTTTTAGCATTTCAGACCAGAAGCAGGACGGTAATGTCAGCAGTAAAACTACGTCGCATATAAGTGTTTGTAACTTTGTCTAAGAATGTCATTTGAGCTGAGATCTGATTATAAAACGTATTTTCCAGGCTTTAACAGCCCTCTGACTTTAAGCGGTGCCTTTGGTAACACAACACAAAGTGTATAAATAGAAACTTCTCACTATCAACCTCTGAAACACACCAGTCATTGTAAACGGCACTGACAAAGCATTAAACTCTAACATCATCAGCATACATGAGAACGTTAGGTTATGCATATAACCACTGTTCCCTGAAGAAGAGGAACGAGGTTCGACGAAGGTACTATGGGACATCACGCCCTCATGTGGCCTGGCTGAAGACACATTTAATCACGCCTGTAAAGGCAAATGAGCATGATGTTGGGTGGTGGCCCTGCCCTCCACCTACAAGCCCCCCAGCGTCACTGGCATTTTTCAGTTTGATAGCCGTTCTTCACCGAGCTAGGCATCAAAGGGGGCAGCCCTGCGTTGTACCTCCTTCCTCTCCTTCATGGAACAGTAGTTATATGCATAACCCCATTTAGTCGATTCACTCGGTGCAACGAAGATACTATGGGACATATAAAAACGCCCCATAAGCAGCTATCAAACCTGGGCCGACAACGCTGTCTAAGATGGCAACTCAGACCTAGGAGAAAATACTTCATGAGCCACCGAAGGGGCCATGAAGTCCAGATGGTATAATCCCACAAAAGTGTGGGGTGCAGCCCAGCTAGCAACTGAGCAAATGTCATTAAATGAAGCACCCTAAAAACAGCACCCTTGAAGTAAAGCCTCTAGTAGAGTGCGCTCTGACATTTTGAGCCTGCTGAGAGACATTAACCTGTAACACAAGGAAACAAAGCTGGAGGGTTTGGCGAAACACACAAACCGCTGGTCTGACAGTTGAAAAATCTGAGTCCACAAAAACCTGTAGAGCACGAACCAGGCACAGACGATGCAACCTCCACTGCTCTTGGGAGGCAAAAGGAGGATGATTGAAAAGCCAAAGCTCTATGGTCACAGAATCGTAGGTCAGCGTGATGACCTTGGGCATATATGCAGTTTTTGGACACAGAGTAACCCTAGACCTGACTTAGCCCATCCCAGGGCTAAGAGCAGGGCTGTCTTATAAGACAGGAACCTCATGTTGACCGACTCAACTGGCTCACACGGAGGACCACAGAGGACCTCTAGAACCAAAATGAGGTCCCATTTTTACTTGTTATTTTTGAAATACAAGAGGTCATGCTGAGTTTCACATGCATGCTAAACATGCAAGTTGTCTTCTACTCTTTTCCTGCATTAGCCACAAAAAGATGACAGATGGTGAAATGCTCGAGTTAGAATAAGCAACTCAGATCTACCTTACACTGTAAATTTAGTCATGGACTCACCCACCTTGGCCCGCGACAAGAATGGCTGCTGTTGTTTTAGCATCCAGGGGAGAGCAGAGTGCTTCTCAACTAGTCGAGGCTAACTGTTAGCATTAGCAACTCCACAGCATGGCGGAACTCCTTCAGCCTTGTGTTATTTATGGTGATAAAACATCAGAGTTGCATGTTTTTTACCAAAGACAGAAGAGTGTAAAAAGGCAGTGGAAGAATCACATTGCTGTTAACCAATCAGAGATGAGATGTTTGCATATCATATATGTTAATGAGTAAAACTCAAATTCTGCTGTCCCCAACTTCTCTGATTATTAACTATTTCCTGAAATGAGCACCAGAGCATTTCTTCCACAGGAGGCATTTGTTCATACCAGAGACCACAGTGGATGTATTGATATGAGTTTATTTACAAATGCTGCCATGTTGTACTTTTCTAGCCAGTCTGAACACTCAGCCACACACAACCACGGTGTGATGGGAGATGTAGGGTTCATTGTTTTGAAGGGAGCTGATCCACTTGACTGAGATCTGACTGTTCATTTATTTTCCTCATGTTCATAAATGTTCAGCTCTAACTGGGGGACCAGCAGATTTTGACCTGAGTTTTATTGTGAAAAATAAGATGAAACGACCCAAAGTGAGCGTAAAACATCACAGATCCCTTTAAAGAAAATGTACCAAAATAAATTCAAGGAGTTTGGGGCTGAAAGGGTGTGACCTGTTTCAGCAGTTGATGGAACCAAACAACGGTGATGATAAAATGCATTCTGAACTTTACCGGCTGGTGGTTTTTTTGGGTGACTTTTGCAAGTCAGCAAAGTGTTTCCACTAATCGCAGATCCCTGAATGACCTTCAATCTTATTTTTAAAAGCAGAAACTGAGTTACAACCTAAAAGGAGAAGAAAGACTGTTAGCTCTGTCCTCAAAGGTCACTGCACAAATGCATGCCTTGAAAGCCGCACTTGGCTGCTGAAATACAAAGCAGCTAAATGCTAAAGTAAAAACCAGAGTCCCAGTAAAGAGGAAAGCTACATTTACAAACAGTCCATACTTTTCTTTCATTCTGTAAGTCTATCACCATATAACAAAATTTAAGTGTAGCTTTGAAGTTGAGACACACCAGTTACCAAATACCTTTTACTCCATTATATCATTTATTTAAGACTGAACAAATACACTACATAGGTTTGCATGAAATTTACAGGATAAACACAAATAATGAATGAGAGTCGGCAAACTGGAGCGATGCAGAGCTTCTGGTCTTTAGATCACCTGACCGTTCACGTGGGACTACGGTTGTGACAGTGTGAAAATGTAACCTCACGGTTATTGTGACCAAAACATTTTTTAAGCATGTTACATTTTCAGACAACTAAATGAACCCTCTATACCAAGAAAATGTTGTCTTAAGTTTGTGTCTAAATTTGGCCTAAAATTAGTTATTTTTGTAGTTATGTTTATTTGTTTACACATTGCCTCCTTTGGTCTTTAAAATATCAAAATTTGCCCATAACTTCTTCATTTATTTTTTTGTCTGTTTGATGCAATCATTTAAAAAAATATGAGATCAGATGATATTCAGTACTCAAGTAGCCTTCTAATAAAATACTTTTTTATTCTTACTTGAGTAATTTCTTGGACAGCTACTTTTACTAGAGTACAGTTGCTGGCTACTCTACCCATCCCCGCCTATAGACCACGGCCGCCCAAACTGTTTCAAACTGCCCAAATTGTCATCAACCAGTAATTATTGTTTAATTCATCATAATGTGGCGAGAGTCAATCTATTGCATTGTAAACCAGCTCTTATCTGCCCCCAGGGAGCCCCAAAGTGCATAGCGTCATTTTAACATGGGGGTGTCCACGACATGGTTTATATGCTGGCAGTGGGCACTGCAGATATACAATAGGGCGACTCATTCTCCTTCAACCCAAAGTCTTCACATCGTGCATTTAATCTAAAATGCTTTCCAGCTCAGCTCTGTCTTCACCACATCAGACCGTTACAACGCCCGCATTGCTGCAGACGCAGCACTAATCCACCTGTCGATCTCACACTCCATCTTTTGCTTACTCATGAACAAGACCCCAAGATACTTAAACTCCTCCACTTGGGGCAGGACCTCATCCCATTCATTCCACCCTTTTCAGGCTCAAGACCATGGTCTTGGGTTTAGAGGAGCCGATTCTCGTGCCAGCTGATTCACACTTGGCTGTGAACTGCTCCAGTGAGAGCCGGAGATCACGCTCTGATGAAGCCAACAGGACCACATAATCTGCAAAAAGCAGAGACCTGATCTTTAGGCCACCAACACGGATCCCCTCAACATCTTGGCTGCACCTAGAAACCCTGTCCATAAAGGTCATGAACAGAATTGGTGACACAGGGTAGCCTTGGGGGAGTCCCAACATCTTTAATACTTCTTGTGCATAGAGCAATCAAAATGCTAATCTCCTATGTATACATGTAAAAAAATGTCAGTCCAAGTCATCAACAAACAATCTGCAGTTTGCGGTTTTCAAGGAGGTTGTTGAGTTCATGAGTTCATCAGCAGTGATTGAGAGTTTGCTCTAAAAGTTGTTGTTTGTCTTCTCAGGCGTCCTCTAGACTATTACACCATGGAGCTGAGTGAACACGCAGAGGGACTGTCCGATCTATAATCAAGGCCCCATGTTATCATCTGGAGGAACCTGTGTGAGAAAAACCTGAGATGTGTGATCAGAAGCACATTTGACCAGTGACCATGCAGCTGCTCCGACATAAAAGTGACTTTTCGTTTCCTCAGAGGATCACTGGTAAAAAGTTGTTTAATCGTTTGTGAACAGTGCGGATGGATGCAGCGTGTTACTGTTCTGGCTACAGGGCATCAATTTTGGATCGTGACATCATGATTTCCAAGGATCGGTGTCCAATGTTTTGCATGTGAACACTTCTAGTTATTATTAGTCAGGGGAAAAACAAAAGAAGGTTTTTTTTTAATACTTGAGTCCTAAATACTCATTTAGTTGACTTGTTAATGCTGTTTTGGGATGAGTTTGAGTTTGCAGCAGGTATTGTTGGGTTTTAACATCAAGATAACATATTTTCTCTAAAAAAAATCTGTTGTGCTTTATTTTCCTGCTTTTCCTGTTTAGACTGCGGTGACTCTCATGTGTTTGACCATCCGTTAAATGTGAAAGTCTAACTCGTGCGCTTGTAACCACTTCTGTGTGCTTTCTTAAAGCAACCTGTTTACGATTCCCTAATGAAAGATAGGAAGAAGCTAATATGGCTAGGCTGATGAAGTGGTGTTTTCCTAAATGAAGAGTGTGTGTATTTTTGTGGAGGTGAAAGGTTGTTTTTATTTTAGTGTGTTTTAGCGGCTCAGAGCCTCACCTGTGCCTTTTACCTGTGCTACCTTGTCACTTACAGCATGGACAATAAAGCCAGAACATGTTGTTTTCTCAGTCAGTTGCACCAAAATATCAATGTGTCTGCATAAATGGCCTCAATGAAAATGTGTTTCCTTCCTGTACTTTTCTCTTTTCACTCCATTCTAATCTCAATGTCATCAAGCAGACGTAACCATGTGAAATCCCATTAATTGGACTTCTTAAATCCACTGGAAATCCAGACAAATTGGTCCTTTTCTGGCATTTGTGATGAACTATATTTTACCTTGACTTAAAATAAAGGTTTTAATGTGAGTGATTATTGTACACTTGAGTATTTTTTATTTTTTGTAGGACTTTTAAATTATACAAAGACGAGATAATTAATGTTGTCATAGCTGCAAAATGCAGGGAAAATGTGTCTCCAGCTGACTGTATTCACAGGTCTAGATAAAAGCATTGTAATCTAACAGTTTTATCCAAACTAACAGTGAATTTCTGATGTTTTGACACCAAACATCTCCTCTGTGCAACAGATGTGTACATTGATCATGTCCCAAGATACACTGGAGAAAGAAAGTCTTTATATTATTTCATGTAGTTCTGAATTTAAAGCCCACGTGCTTATGTTTGGTTTATTATCATGCTCGCTCAAATAAAATATATTACTTCCACTGATGTGCTGAGCTATGCTCAATTTCAGTTTTCTCCGGTTTTGACTTCTCAAAAACAGTGACTCGCACATGAGTGAAGCAACATTTTTTAGAGTATACAGGTGAAACTAAAAAAAATAGAATATGGTGCAAAAGTATTTTAGACACTGTTCACTACTGAATGGTTATCGGGTAATTAGGACAAACCAGGTTATGTTTATGTGAACACTAAATACTTCTGAGTTAAAAACAACCCAATTAGAACTATTTTGTAAAGTTAGAGCAGGGTCAACTTTGGACTGAACCAATTCATGTCTGTCTTAACCTTGCAAGGTTGGTTAATTAATTTTATTTTTAACCTTTATTTAACCAGATTAGTCGATTGAGAACTGATTCTCATTTACGACGACAATCTGGCCGAGAGAGCAGCAACAGACACGTACTTAGCTTTACATTAAAAAACAACAGAGAGACGAGATAAAAACAGACATAAAGACAAAGGACTAGTCTCATATACAATATGTACACGCAATGTAAGGCAAGGAGGACTTCTATCCAGGGACTGGAAACATTTTTTACTAATGTCTAAAGATGAGGCAAAAACTGAGTTGCAAACAACACAATGTGGGTAATTTATTACTCTAGAAAAATGATGGGGTTAAATTAATCATTTTCAATAAAATTCTGCATTAAAATGTGTTTTATCTGAGTTAAGAAAATCTTCAGTTTCAGATGAATCCCCAAATTTCAAGTTAATAAACAATCTTTAATTTTAACCCACTCACTCAAAAGTCATTTGACCCAAATATTGTGCCTAACCAGACCATCTGAGTGTATAGTTGCACTCACATGGTTCCTGCCTCAACTTAGCAAGCTCACATTAACCCTTAAAAGGCAGAAAAACACAAACACTAAAGCGACATCTAGTGTGTGGAGGTTGTAGTTGCAACAACAGAACAAGGTTTCCAGCCGTCAGAGTGCCAGGTTCGCTGCCAGTACGTGCATTTTTTATTTTATTTGGGTCCATCTGTTGTAAACTTCACCTAAACTTACTCTGGTTTTAGATATTTTATGGTCGCTCATTTTCTGAGAAGGATAACAACATCTGGGCTCAGAAGCAACTGCTTGAATTGCAACGTCCGCCATTTTCCACAGTGCCAGCCTTGGTGTGGTATGCAGACTGTTTGGCAACCCTCAGTGGTGCCCTCTATTGGCTGGTAGATGTAAACATAAACCCAGTGTTGTATACAGTCAGATGCAAACGTTTGGGCAGCCTTTTTAATCATGATTTTCCTGTATAAATTGTTGGTAGTTACGATACAATATTTAAGTTAAATATATCATATAGCAGACACACACAGTGATATTTGTGAGGTGAAACAAAGTTTATTTACAGAAAGTGTGCAATAATTGTTTAAGCAAAATTAGGCAGGTGCATAATTTTAGGCATTGTTGTCATTTTATTGATTCCAAAACCTTCAGAACTAATTATTGGAGCTTTAAATTGGTTTGGTAAGCTCAGTGACCCTTGACCTCCACACACAGGTGAATCCAATTATGAGAAAGAGTATTTAACGGGTCAATTTGAAGTTTCCCTCCTCTTTGAATATTCTCTGAAGAGCAGCAACATGGGGGTCTCAAAACAACTCTCACATGAGCTGAAAACAAAGATTGGTCACCATCATGGTTTATGGGAAGGATACAAAAAGCTGTCTCAGAGGTTTCAGCTGTCTGTTTCCACAGTTAGGAACATATTGGGGAAATGGAAGACCACAGAAACAGTTCAAGTTAAGGCTGGAAGTGACAGACCAAGAAAAATCTCAGATAAACAAGAGAAGAATGATGAGAACAGTCAGAGTCAACCCACAGACCAGCACCAAAGACCTACAACATCATCTTACTTCAGAGGGACTCACTCTGCATCGTTCAAACTATTCGGTGCACTTTACACAAGGAGATGCTGTATGTGAGAGTGATGCAGACGAAGCCTTTTCTCCACCCACAGCACAAACAGAGCAGCTTGAGGTTTGCTAAAACACATCTGGGCAAGCCAGCTTCATGTTGGTATAAGGTGCTGTGGACTGATGAAACTAAAACTGAGTTATTTGGGCATAACAAGGGACGTTATGCATGGAGGAACAAGAACACAGCATTCCAGGAAAAACATATGCTACCTGCAGTAAAACATGGTGGTGGTTCCATCATGCTGTGGGGTGTGTGGTCAGTGCAGGGACTGGGAATCTTGTTAAAGTTGAGGGATGCATGGATTCCTCTCAATATCAGCAGATTCTGGAGACCAATGTCCAGGAATCAGTGACAAAGCTGAAGCTGTACCGGGGATGGATCTTTCAACAAGACAACAAGCCTAAACACTGCTCAACATCTACTAAGGCACTCATGCAGAGGAACACGTAGAACATTCTGGAATGGTCATCTCGGTCCCCAGACCTGAATATTATTGAAGATCTGTGGTGTGAGTTAGAGAGCTGTCCATGCTCAGAAGCATCAAACCTGAATGAAATAGAGATGTTTAGTAAAGAAGAGTGGTTTGAGTGTGTGCAGTTTTCAGAGATTTGCAGTATTATTTTTACATTATGTGGTACTGTTTACCATGCAGGTACAGCGAGACTGAGTTGTGGTTTAACATTCTGGTCTAGGATCTTAACACACTGCGTGCACAAGTGCAAAGCTTCTCTCTTCCGTTTTTGTCTTTAGTTTTCTGATTCATCCTGCATTCAGCACAGGAAGCTCTCGACAGGAAGATGCTGCAGCATGAAACCGTGTCTTCATCAGCAGATCCAACCACATTATGATTCGAGCTGCTGCTGCTCTCAACACAAGTAGAATTTACTCGCTGATTGTCTACTCAAAACTTTGCTTTGTGAGCTGTCATAAGAGACTTCTGGAATGTGGATATTTTTTTTATTTTTCCGACATTTTCAGGACCTCTTCAAGAAACTGGTGAGTTGTTTATTTTCTTCTTTTACACCTTTAAACTGAAATGTTCAACTTATGCCCACATTTATGTTTCAGTTATTGTTAAGTAACTGCTGGGTTCCTAGAGGGTTGGTTTGAGCATAAATGTATTGTTCATATTAGTGTAAATCATTCCTATTGTACAGTTATGGTAAATCTTTAAAACTCACCTCAAAAAGTGCTTGAAAAGAACTTGAAATAGATTTTGGTGAGAGTACAGACAAATATGTTGTGAACTATTGAACTGAATTAGCTTCCTTTCTAAAACTACATGAGGTGCAGTGAACCACAGAGGAAGGCTTGCTTCCTGTGGACCTTGTTGAGACCTTCGGTATAAATTTAACCAATACCCTATTGGGGCCAGTAGGGGAGCTGGCTCCCTGGAGGGCTAAGCCCAACCAGCCATTCCTCCCCATCCCCGCATATTTCTCTCCTCCTGCTCCCTCACATCATCACACAAACATACACATAGGACCTTGGGGGGTAGGCAAGTCAGGGAGTGTGGGTATGGACCCCATTTCCGCATTCCTGTGGAAACCTGCCCCCCAATTTTATTTGCACCTTATACACTTCCACTGACGACATTCCACACAAACACACACTTAGGGCCTTGGGAGTGAGCACATTCAACGGCATTTGGCAGGGGGATATTTCAGCCTCCTCCCGAGTGCCGGTGCCCACTTCCAGTTTTAAACCTCACTTAGACACTGATGGCTGAGGGTGTAAATGGGGTGGTGCAGTGGCATCAGCTGGCATATGCTGGATGATGCCCGCACTGCCCACTCACCACAGCCATGGAATACACCTCATGTTCACACAACACTATATTGGAGCAGGCGGAGGGAGACTAGGGGTCTTAGCCACCTCTGTTGTTGCTAGGCTTCCCGGGGCTGGAGGCTAGGAGGGAGATCCGGCCGTCTGGCTGGGGTCTGGGGTGGTGGGTTGCTGTGCTCAGCGTTGGGCGGGGGAGCCTGCTCATCAGCACCCCAGCAGAAAGGGTCAAACTCTGGTTACCGGTGATGGTTGTACCCAATGTGCAGCAGTACCGGGACCAGAGTGAATAGGGTGTGTATGGGGAGCATGAGTGGGTGTCCGGCGTGCATTTTTGTAAGTCTTGGGTTGTATGTGCATGTGTGAGCATGAGGGAGGGAGCGTGTGACTGTGTTTGTGTATGACTGTATATGTCAGGTGGGGCCTTTGGGTCCTCCCCTCTCCTGGAACTTCTCTTGATGATATAGATCTCTGTCCCCCCTCCCCCTGCCACACCTGGTGTGGGGGCTTGTGCCTTGGTCTGCCTGAGTGTTCGTGGCAACCGGGTCTGGGGGTTTAAGATTTTGGCATCTGCCGGTTAGATCCCGGTGGCTGCCTGGTGGGGTCTGGGTCCCTGGGCTCTGCTGGGTCCCCGGCGGGGGTGGTCGCCCCTGGGTCCCGGGCTCGGCCGGCTAGGGGGTGGGAGGCTGCGGGCGGGCCTGTGGGCTTGCCGCTGATATCTCCAGGGACTCTGCCGGCTGCTGGTTGTGGCCCCCCGGGGCGATCCTCTGTGCCTCTCGAGGGGGGCGGGGGCCTTCCTGGTTGCAGTCTGCTTGGGGTTCCTGCGTTCTGGGGCAGCGCCTGGATCTCTGGGACTTGGAGCTTCCCACGTCTCCTGCGCATCTTTGGGGGGCGGATCTGTGGTCCCTCACACTCTCTGTTGGGCGCTCCTATAGAAAAACCTTAAATAAACAAGCGCGTGTACACACACAAGTGCTCACATGGTGCTCTCAAAAGTATGGGCTTGGGCACGTTAAACACAGGTCTTAAGACTATGGTGGGCACTTAATGCGTTGTGATTTATTATCGTGATTCTTCAGTTAAGCAATGTTGATTATATATATATTTTTTTCTTTTCATCAAGTTGACGCAGTGATAGGTAGATCTTGTTGTATTGTTGTTGTGTCCCTTTTTTTGTGTCCCTTTGTTTTTTTTTGTCTCTTTTTCTGCAGGTCTAGAAGCAGACTCTTGTTCATTTTTGTTTATTTTTGTGGAACCCCCCCCCTCTCTCCCCACCTTTTCTTTTCCTTTCTCTTTCACCTCTGTCTCCGTGTCTGGTCGGAATTACAAAGCATTCAACAACATTAACAATAAAGTTTTAAGTATCAGGCGTGACATTAAAAGCAAACGCTTTGATGCTCCACCTGAGAATAAATCTGTAAGGCTTGTCACCAGCATTCAGACATCAATTCTGCTTGCTTCACAGCCAGACAGGACACGGTAAAAAAATAAATAAATAAATAAATAAATAAACAAATTTAACCAATACTTTATTCTGATTGGCGTTATTGCCGGTCTGTGGTCATTTCATACTCTTAAAAAGTACTAAGTGAAGGTAGCTTGTGAGGTTTAAACATTTGAATCGACTGCGTTGAAGGAAAAGCTCAATAATAAACTGAATTTACATTTTAAATTCTGTCATTCTACTAGGTTTCTAACACCGTCTAGCTTCTTCCACATTTTACCACGCTGTACAGTATTACTGGGACTAAAATGATGATGCAAACCTCAATTGCAATTACCAAACTGTTGGTTTGGACCTTCACCGTTCAGAAACTGAGTGGCAAACACTATCACTAACACAATAACAACATAACACACATATTATTAACTTAAAAAAAATGCAGCTTAAGATTTTTCGCCAGAAATACCAGCATGTTTACCTTTTTCGGGCTTCAACATGGGACATTGTGGACCAGCTGCTGAAAACCCACTTCGATGAGCTTGTGGCACCGACATACGGGTACTTTAGGGCTGGTTGCGTCATCTGGGGAAAGCTGGCTGCATATTTCCAACCAGAAATGCACGTTGTCATCTCTTTTAATAACAGGCTGCATACAGAAGGCTGCTATTTCAGCTAAGGCTTCCTCCTGTGCTAACAGGCCTGAAACCTTTGCTGTCATCTCTTTGCTTGCGCAAATAACCCCATCAGTGTTTACCAGCTCTCCTTTATAGTTTGCTTTGAACCCAAAATGACTCCAAAACTGCAGAAGTTGTGTACTTTTTAGACACCAAGTCAGTTGTCTCGGCGTGTCTTGGCACTGAAGAAGAAAATATAATTTCTAAAGCGCCTCTCAAGAAAAAAATCACGAGGTGTTTCACTAAAACAAAAAATGTAAAAATTTTAAAAAGAATTTAGGAAATGGTTAAAAATATATTTCAAATGAGCAAAAAATAAACAATTGTGATTAAAAAAATGTTAAGAAAGAGAGAGAGTGAATAGGAAAGAGGGAAATCAGTGGATCCTGAGGAAGGTGGAATAGGTGAGGAGAGCAGAATCAAGAGAGAGTGGTGAAGAAGATCATACAAAAGCCAGCTTCACAAGTGAGTCTTCAGCTGCTTTTTGAAGGAGACCACTGAGTCCACTGATCTCAGGCTCAGGGGGAGAGAGTTCCAGAGTCTGGGGGCCACAGCAGCAAATGATCTGTCACCTTTGGTCTTTAGCCTGGTGTCCTGCACAACCAGTAGGCTTTGATCACTGGACCTCAGGGACCAGCTGGGGGTGTAGGGACTAAGAAGATCACCAATGTAAGATGGTGCTTGTCCATGTAAGGCCCTATAGACCAGAACCAGGATCTTGAAATGAACCCTGATGTTGACTGGCAGCCAATGAAGCTGGAGGAGAAGCAGGGTGATGTGGGTTGTTTGGAGGACTTGGTCAGAAGCTGAGCACAGGAATTCTGAACCACCTGTAGACGGTTCAGGGAGGTTCTGCTCAGACACGTGAAAAGAGAGTTACAGTAGTCTAAGCATGAGGAGATGAAGGTGTGGAGAACTGTCTCAAGTTCAGAGCAGGACAGAATGGGCCTCAGCTTAGCAATGTTCCTGAGATGGAAGAAGGAAGAGCGAACAAGAGAACTGACATGAGAATGCAGGGTGAGAGCTGGGTCAAAGGTCACACCAAGATTCCTGACGGAAGTTTGGTGTGAGAAGCAAGCTGACCAAGAGAGTCTCTGACTTTGGGAACCAGCTTGGCTGGGGCACAGATGAGGATCTCAGTCTTATCTTCATTCAGCTGTAGAAAGCTCCCAGCCATCCAGGTTTTAATAGAGTCTAAGCAGGTGTATAACAGCTGCAACTTAGACATCTCATGGGGCTTAAAGGAGATGTATAGTTGAATGTCATCTGCATAAAGATGGTAGGAGATTCCTTTGAAGGAGCTCAGGATGTGCTGAAGAGGAAGCAGATAGAGGAGGAAGGCCAGAGGCCCCAGCACAGAACCTTGTGGGACACCATGGGTAAGGGAGGTGGTGGAGGACCTAAACTTGGAGACGGCCACAGAAAAGGAGTGCTCAGAAAGATAAGAGGATAACCACTCCAGAACAGTTCCTGATAGGCCTACCCAGTCTCTCAGCCTCTCCAGTAGCAGGTAATGGTCACCAGTGTCAAAGGCTGCAATCAGGTCCAGTAGGACCAGAACAGAACAGTCCCCTGCATCACTGTGAGTCAGAAGGTCATTAGAGACCCTAAGAAGAGCTGTTTCAGTAGAGCTCTACAAGAACCTGACTGTAAGCAATCACAGATATTATGTTCATCAAGAGCAGCTGTGAGTTGTTTAGCCACAACCTTTTCCAAGATCTTGGAGATGAACGGAAGTTTAGAGATGGGTCTGAAGCTGCTGTGGTGAGAGGCATCAAGACTCATTTTTTAAAGAAGCGGGTGGATTACAGCGTTCTTAAAGTAAGCAGGGACCTGACCAGAAACCAGAGAAGCATTAATTATAGAGAGCACGCTGGGACCAATGGACTGAAAAGCACTTTTAAACAAAGATGAGGGTAAGATGTCGAGGGGGCATGCAGAGGTCTTCATAGAGTTAACTAGTTTGGATAACTCAGGCACAGAAACAGGAGCAAAGCTATCTAGGACGATGGTCCTGATGTCCTCTGGACAAACACTGTCAGCATTTAGACTCAGGCTAAAAACAAGGTCTAGAGTGTGCCCCCTGGTGTGTGTGG